CAGACACATAGAACAGTGGAACAGAATTGATAACCTAGAAATAAATGCGCATACATGTGGTCAATTAATTTATGCCAAAGAAGGCAGTCTCTTTAATAAATGGTGTTGGGAGAACTGGATAGTCACATATTAAAAAAAAATGAAACTGGATCCTTGTCTCACACCATACACAAAAGTCAACTCAAAATGGTTTTGAAACTTGAACAGAAGATCAGAAAACATAAAACTTCTAGAAGAAGACATAGGCAGTAAGCTTCTTGACATTAGTCTTGTCAATGATCTTTTGAATCTGACACCAAAAACAGGCATCAAAGGCAAAAATAGACAAGTGAGACTACATCAAACTGAAAAGCTCCTGCACAGCAAGGGAAGCCATCAACAAAAATGGAAAGACAATCTACTGAATGGGAGAAAATATTTGCATGTCACATGTTTGATAAGGGGTTAGTATCTAAAAAGTGCAGTCATACCTTGGTACTGCTCATCAGCTTCAGAACTCGTCAAACCCTGTACTTGTTGTATTTTGATGAGAAAAGAATGTTTCAGTGCTCAACACTTGCTTGGGACTTGTTACACTTGCTAGAACTTACATGAGTCCCCATGCTGCCCTGCAAAAGAAAATGCTTCATCATTCGTTGCTTGCTTGGGGCTCAGTTTCGACACTTGTCACGAGTTTGGGAATGAATTAATGATGAGTTCTGAGGTACCACTGTATAAAGAATTCATTCAACTCAGCAAGAAAACCAAATAACCCAATTAAAAGATGGGCAAAATTCCTGAATACATACACACACTGCCAACAGGTACATGAAGAGATGCTCAACATCACTAATTGTCAGGAAAATGCAAATCAAAACCACAACAAGATACCATTTCACATCTGTTAGAATGACTATTATCAAAAGACAAAAAATTACAAGCCTGGGTGAGGATATGGAGGAAAGGGAATCCCTCATTGTTGGCGGAAATGTAAATTGATACAGCTACTATGGAAAAAAGTGTGGAGGTTCTTCAGAAAATTAAAAATAGAACTACCATATGATTTAGTATTCTATTTCTGGATATTTGTCCGAAGAAAGAGAAAGTGCTAAGTCAAAGAGATCTATGCCACCCCATGTTCATTGCAACATTATTTACAATAGACAAGATATCAAAACAATCGAAGTGTCCATCAGTGGATAAATGAATATGTGGAGTATATGCATACAATGGAATATTATTAGCCATAAAAAGGAATGAAATCCTGCCATTCGTGACAACATGCATTGGACCTTGAGGGCATTATGCTAAGTGAAATAAGTCAGACAATAAAAACAAATACAGTATGTTTTCACTTATATGTGGAATCTGAAATTTAACAAAATGCTGTTTTGATTACCATGGCCTTATAGTATAGTTTGATATTAGGTGGCATGATTCCTCCAACTTTGGTCTTATTTCTCAGGGTTGCTGTTGCTATGTGGAGCCTTTTCTGGTTCCATATACATTTTTGAGATATTCTAGTTCTGTGAAATACATTATTGGAGTCTTGATAGGATTGCATTGAATCTATAGATTGCTTTGGTAGTATGGATATTTTAATGTTGTCAATTCTTCCTATCCGTAAACATGGTATGTGCTCTCTGTTATTTGTATCTTCTTCCATTTCTTTCTTTAGTGTCCTTTAATTTTCCAAGTATAGTTCTTTTACACAATTGATTAGGTGTATACCTAGGTATGTTATTCTTTTTGAAGCAGTGGTGAATGGAATTGTTTTCTTAATTTCCCTCTCTGTTAGTTCAATATTGGCATATAAAAATGCAACTGATTTCTGGATGTTAATTTTGTATCCTACTTTACTGAATTCATTTTTCTAATGGTTTCTTGGTGGAATCTTTGCAGTTCTCTATGTACAGTATCATATGATCTGTGAATAAAGACAGTTTTACTACTTCCTTTCTAATATGGATTCCTTTTATTTCTTCTTTTTGTCTGATTGCTGTGGCTAGGATTTTTAGTACTATGTTGAATAAGAGAGGTGAAAGTGAGCATCACTGTCTTTTTTCCGATCTTAAGGGGAACAGTTGTAGTTTTTGCCCATTGGGTATGATGCCAGCAGTGGGTTTATCATATATGACCTTCATTATCTTTAGGCATGTTCCCTCTATTCCCATTTTGCTGAGAGTTTTGATCATAAATCAATGCTGGATTTTATCAGGGGCCTTTTCTGCATCTAATGATATGATCATGTGGTTTTTATCCTTCATTTTGTTTATGTGGTGAATCACTTTTATCAATTTATGAATGTTGTACCAACCTTGCATTCCTGGAATAAATCCCACTTGATCATGGCATACGATCTTTTTGATGCATTGTTGTATTCAGTATGCTAATGTTTTGTTGAGGATTTCAGCATCTGTGATCATCAGAGATATTGGCCTATAATTTTCTTTGTGGTTTTTCTTTATCTGATTTTGGAATTTGGATAATACTGGCCTTGTAAAATGTGTTTGGAAATCTTCTCTCCTCTTGAATTTTATAAAATAGTTTGAGCAGGAGAGGTGTTAGTTCTTAGATTGTTTGGTAAAATTCACCTGTGAAACCATCCGGTCCAGAGCTTTTGTTTGTTGGAAGTTTTTGATTACTGCTTCAATTTCACTATGTGTAAACTGTCTGTTAAGATTCTCTTGATTCTTCCTGATTTAGTTTTGGAACATTTTATGTTCTAGGAATTTACCAGTTTCATCCAGGTTGTCCAGTTTGTTGGCATATAATTGTTCATAATATTTTCTTTCTTTTTTCCATAATATTTTCTTAACAATCATTTGTATTTCTTTGGTGTCAGCTGTTATTTCTCCTCTTTCACTTTGATTTTATTTATTTGGATCCTTTCTTTTTTTCTTGACGAGTCTGTTTAAAGGTTTGTCAATCTTGTTTAACTTTTCAAAGAGCCAGCTCTTGGATTCATTGATCGTTTGTATCATTTTTTAGACTCTATTTCATTTAACTTTGTTCTGATCTATTCTTTCCTTCTCCTCACTTTATGCTTTGTTTGTTGTTCTTTTTTAAGATACTTTGAGTGTGAAGTTAGATTGTTTATTTGAGCTTTTTCTTCTTTTTTTTTGAGATAGGCCTGTAATGGTATGAATTTCCCTCTTAGATTGCTTTCCTGGTGTCCCACAGATACTGGCATAAAACAGACATATAGATCAATGGAACAGAATAGAGAGCCCAGAAATAAACCCACACCTTTATAGTTAATTAACATTTGACAGAGGAAGCAAGCACATACAATGGGCTAAAGATAATTTATTCAATAAATGGTGTTGGGAAAATTGGACAGATATGTGCAGAAAAATGAAACTAGACTGCCTTCTTAAACTACACACAAGTTTAAATTCAAAATAGATCAGAGACTTAAATATTTTACCTAAAACCATAAAGATCCTAGAAGAAAACAGGCAACAAAATCTTGAATACTGTTCATAGCATTTTTTTTATTGGCTATATCTCCCCAGGCAAAGGAAAGAAAAGAAAAAAATAAACAAATGGAACTACATCAAACTAAAAAGTTTTTGCACTGTAAAGGAAATCAACAACAAAATAAAAAGACAACTGATAGAATGGGAGCACATATTCACCTATATGTCTGATAAGAGGTCAATATCCAAAATTTATAAAGTACTTAAAAAGTCAACACCAAAAAAATAAGTTACCCAATTAAAAAATGAGCAAAGGACTTGAATAGACACTTCTCTAAGGAGGACATACAGTTGGCCAACAGACATTTGAAAAGATGCTCAGTGTCACTAATCATCAAGAGAAATGCAAATTAAAAGCACAATGATATACCATCTCACACCTGTCAGAATGGTAATCATCAACAAATCAACAAACGACAAGTGCTGGTGAGGATGTGGAGAAAGGGGAACCCCTTTGCACTGTTGGTGGGAATGCAGACTGATGCAGCCATTGTGGAAAGCAGTATGGAGATACTTTAAAAAATTAAAAATAGATCTGCCTTTTGACCCAGTGATCCCATTTGAGGAAATATATCCAAAGGAACCCTAAACACTAATTTGAAAGAACATAAGCACCCCCATGTTCATTGCAGCATTATTTACAATCACCAAGATATGTAAGCAGCCTGTGTCCATCGATAGATGAGTGGATAAAACAACTATGGGACATTTACACAATGGAATTCTACTTGGCCATAAAAAAGAAAATTTTATCCTTTGCAACAGTATGGATGGACCTGGAGAACATTATGCTAAATGAAATAAGCCTGTCAGAGAAAGACAAATACCACATGATTTCACTCATAAGTGGGATCTAATGAACAAACTGAACTAACAAGGAAAATGGGGATAGACTCATAGATGGAGAGCAGGATGACAGCTATGGGTGAGGAGGATAGTGGGTAGAGTGATTGAGCAAAAAGGAGAACAGACTCGTGGACATGGACAACAATGTGGTGCTTGCTGGGGGATGGAGGGTATAAGGGGACCAAATGGTAATGGGAAAAATACGACAAAGACTAAGTAGAATTGAAAAAACCCCTGCAAGTTCATAGATACAGAGAAGAGAGATTGGTGGTTGCTGGGGGCAGGGTGTGGTGGTGGAGCAGATGGATGAAGGAGGTCAAAAGGTGCAAACTTCCAGTTATAAATTAAATCATTGGGCTATAATGTACAGCACGGTGACTGTAGTTGATAATACTATATTGAATATTTGAAAGTTGCTAAGAGAGATCTTAAAAATTCTCATAAGAAAAAAATTTTTTTAGCTGTGTGGTAGTGGATATTAACTAGACTAATTGTGGTCATTTTGCAGTATATACATATATGGAATCATATGTTGTTCACCTGAAACTAACATCATGTTATATGTCAATTATACCTAAATAAAAAAACCACATTTTGAATTTTTCTCCCTTTTCTAAAACCTTTCCCTCTCAGTTTTGAGAAAGGAAACATTTGTATGTAAATTCAAAATTGACTTTGTTTTTTTTTTTACAGATAATCATGATGATTACAGAGACTGCTACTGTGCCTTTTGCTCCTTTAGAGGACGCATTGAGATGGATATTATTTGGCTGGCAGCAGCAATTCTCATCATATGAAAAGAAAAGTGAAATAAAATCATCTTCCAGAGGTTCTGGTTCATTGACCTCAAAATCTATAGCTGGTACTTCAGATAAAGTTAAAAAGAAACATACTAAGAAGACTGATTAATTTACTTCATGAGTTTTAGAAGGCAAAAATTTTTTTCTCTACCTGTCAGATTGTGATAAATATTTCTATTGTAAATGATGTGAAATAAAGATTATATGTAAGGAATGGAGGTGACAAAAAAAAAGAACAACTTTCTATTTCAGGGAGACTCTCCCTTTCCAGATTGTAATTCTTGAGTGTTGTGAGTGTATCATGTGAAACTGTTTTTCTAAGTTATACAAAAATATTTTATTGTGGTTATTTTATAGTTTTATATTGATAAAAGCAGGCTAGATGTTTTTATGTCAGAGAAAATAAACCTACTATCATTGTAAAATTACAAAAATTAAAGCCCTTTTGTTTTATTTAGATATTTTTTAATCTATTTGAGTTTCAGTTCAGCAACATTAAACTTCTAATTCACATTATCCTATAATTTCTAGATGTAGAAAACAATTCCTGTTTAATTTTGAACACTGGGAAGAGTAAACTTTACCTAAATCACTTTATATTACAAATGAAAAAAAGTTACTAGTTTGTATTTCAGATATAAAAAAATTGTATATTTTGTTCACATTAAATGGAAATATCTGAAGTTTTATTAATTTTTTTAGTAGTTTTTTTCAATGAGGTCAGAGTATTAGTCTGAATCTTGAAGACTATTTCATACTGTCCTTGTTTATACTGTTTCTTTTTCCTCAAAAGAAAATCAGGGGTGTAATTTTTAATACATTACTAATCCTGTGTTTTTCTTTGTAAGTTTTATTTGAGGAGCTTATGCTTTCTCTCTTTTTAGAAATTTATTTTTAACTGTAGGAGAAATTATTCTCAGCAATTTACGTACTCTTCTTTCTGACCTTTGGTTTGAATACATTGATGGCAGTATCACCTTAATGATTCAAAGCAAAGTATTATTTCAATTTAAAAATTTTCCCTGTATGTCTCTTTTTTAATGGGAACTTTTTAGTTTTCTACTTAAAATGTCTCTGACTAGTTTGCATATGTTTATGTTATGTTTTAATCTGTATGTACATGTATATATTATTAATTTTACTTTAAATTAAAAATAATACCCTTATGTGAAAATGCTTAGCTCTGATAGTTGTCCTTGGGCCTTTGGCAGTAACCAGCTACAATCTCTATGGTATTCCATTAGAGTGAAGAATGATGACATTAAATCTGGTTCCTACTAGATTTCTTGCTTTATTTTATAGTTTAAAAGTTCAGTTAGAACTTTAAAACTCTGTGACTGACATTTCTTCTATCCAGACTATGAATCTGCTGACCTGCAAAGAGTTAGTATGTATCAGACATTTTTGGATGGCTAAGAAGTACTCAAATCACAATACAATTAGAAGGCTTCTTTTTGATTGTTTGTTTTTGTTAGCTTAAAAACATTTTTTAACACATATAGACACCAGCAGGGACTATACTTTTACTTGCTAAAGAAAATTTTTTTGTAGCGGGTAGAACCTTTGACAGCTTTTGGATGCTAAGAAGTTTATTTTTAGTATTGTGCTAAGACATTAAATATTTAAAATTCTTTATTATATTTGATACTCTTGTAGTTAAGAACTGTTCAAAATTAACATGTTACTAATTGTTGACTTAATTTTGAAATTTGGGTTTGACTATAGTTAAAATCTTGTATTAAATACAAATTTATTAAAATAAGTTATTTAGCACCAATGGAGTATTTTTGTGATTTAAAAAAAATGTTTTTCTTGAGTTAGGATTCAGAACTATCTGGTGTTTTGATTGATAGAGCATATACTGAATGATTACTGTCCAAATGGGATATTGCTACAAACGTTTAAAGTCTGTGCAAGCTTCCTGAAACCTTTAATTCATGTACTGGAGATCATGGCTTAGGCCTGAAACCTCCCACCCTGAATCTACCCATGCTGCCTAGAGACTCGCCTAGCTTTGCAAAGCAAATTGTTAGACTCCTTACCCAATGTGTAGCTCATATGAGGCCTGTTCACTAGCTTAACACAACCAATTATTGGTAGTACTGAGAAAGTCAAGACCTGGTAGATCTTACATAAGAAACAAGCTGACAAGGACATGGACTGGCTTAACTCAGTGATCTCACACTCTAATAAAATGTGGCCAAATTAATATCAAATTCTGATGTATTAGATTAGTTACTCTTTTTTGCTGAGGGCGAAGGCTGGAGAGGAGCCAAAAGTGTGGAATGGGTGTATTTCAGTCGAAATTCCAGCTTTCCTATAGGCAGAGGCCAAAAAGTAAAGAATGAGTGAAGAGGAGAGACTTTTTCTCTTTAGTGTATTTTTTTGTTCTTTTTTTTTAAGGCCTAACACCATTTCATTAAAATCTACTTCAAATCACAAACTGATTACAACTGAGTGATATATTGGGAATGAAATAATGTGTTGGAGAATGTCCTCTTCCCCCACTGCTCTCTTGGAGTTTATATTCCACTGGTGGAGAGACATATAATAAACAAATGTGTTCGTAGGGTGATACTAAAGGTCATGAATAAATATTAAGCAGGATACAAGGATGTAAAGTAATGGAGTTGGGGATGTTAAATAGGATTGCTCGAGAAGGCCTGTCTGTTAGAAATGAGTATAATGAGACTTGAAGGGAGCAGCCAGGCAGACTTGTAAGTTTAAGGGTCATTCTGTTTCTTCGTAAACTTGAGTCAGATCATATTTTTTTCCAAAAACGGAATTTCATTTTCTTTTGTTTTTAAAGATTTTATTTATTTATTTTTAGAGAGAGGGGAAGGTAAGGAGAAAGAGAAACATCAATGTGTGGTTGCCTCTCATGCGCCCCCTACAGGGGGACTTGGCCTGCAACCCAGGCATGTACTCTGCCTAGGAACTGAACCAGTGATTCTGGTTTGCAGGCCAGCAGCACTCAGTCCACTCAGCCACACTAGCCAGGGCATGAAGTTATTTTTCTTGTTAAGTACAATTTCACTCTTGTAGTTTTTAAATTATTTTAGGCTGCTCACTCTTGTTTAACAGACATATCTTTAATAGAATCTATTTTTATTTTTACAGTTTTTTTCTCTTCAGGTAAAATTTGCATAGATTGAAATCTATAAATTGTAAGTGTTCATTTAAAGGATTTTGACACATGCATACAAACTATATACCCTAAACTCCTATCAAGATACAGAGCATTACTGGCACCTCAGGAAGTTCCTTTCCAGTTACCCTCTCTCCCCAACTAAATATAAATAAAATCATGCAATGTGTTCTCTTTTGCATGACTTTTTTCAAACTCCGCATAATGTTTTTGAAATTCATTTATCTTGCTGCACTTACCAGTAGTTTGTTCCTTTTTAATTGCTTGGTAGCATTCTACTATGTGAATGTGCCAGTTTGTTTAGCCTGTTGATGCACAGCAGGGCTCTTCCTAGTTCAGGATATTCTGAATAAGGCACTGAGAACATTTCTGTACAGATCTTTACGTGAAGGTATGTTTTTATTTCCTTTGGGCAAAGACCTAGATGTACAATTATGTTTAGTTTCATAAAAAAAGATACTGCTAGGCTTTTTTCCCCCCAAATGGTTGTGCCATTTTATACTCCAGTTTCAGTTGCTCGACATCCTAACAAAGGGTTAGTGTTGTCAAATATTTTAATTTCGTCCATTTTCAGTGCGTGGCTGTGATGTTTATGGTTTTAATTTGCTCTGATGTTTAATGATGTAGAGCACTTTTTGTGTGTGCTTATTGGCCGTTTGTTTATCTTCCTCTGTAAAGTGCCTTTTCACATCTTTTGCCCGTATTTTATTGGATTTGTCTTTTTATAGTTAATTGTAGGAATTCTTTATATATCTTGGATATTGATCCGTTGTCAAACGGATTTTTAATCATTTTTGTTTTATTTTTTATTTATAGTTTATTTTTATTGTATTTTTCCATTACCATTTATTCCCTTTATATCCTCTTCCACCTTGACCTCCCCCCCCCCACAGTTACCACACTGTTGCCTGTGTCCATGGGTCCTTTTCCTGTTTTGCTCAATCCCCCCACCCCCAACACCTCCCCTCTCCCCCACTCCCAGAGCTGTCAGCCTGCTCTCTGTCTCGAATCTGTCTCTATTTCGCTTGTTTTAAACAGGTGTTTTGCACTTATTTCTTTCTGGTCTGTGGCTTACCTATTTATTTTTATAATGATATGTTTTAATGAGCATAGTTTTTAATTTTGAAGAAATCTAATTTCCCAATATTTTATTCATAGTTATTGTTTTCTCTGCCTTGAAAAGTTTTTCCCATGACTTGGGAGTCATGACACTGCTTGCCCATCTGAGGAATCTGAAACAAAGGAGCACCTAGGTTTTAGCTTTTCTTCTGAGAAACACTTAAGAGAGAAACACTATATTGTTACGTAAATTACTAAGTCTGTTGCTCAGCAAGTCACTTAGATCTAATTTATGATTCCACTTTTTGAAAATCATTATACATCTTTTATATCAATAACTTTTTCTGAGTTTGTGCTTGATATTATCCATTAAAGGAATTTAGGATTTTCTGTAGGTGTCTCTTTCAGGACATTTTGTAGTCAGGCTTGACCTTGGTTTATCACAACTCTGCTATTTAAAAGAGGTGATGAATAAGAATGTGGTGATAAAAGTATTTTTAAAATGAAATAAATTCTTGAAGTTCTGTAGGTATGGGGCTGGTTGGGAAGGTGGTGGTCCATATTGAAATATATAATCCATTAGTGCATATTGGTGGTGACAGTGTGGACCAGTGGTCTGATAGGCAAACCAGTAGACCTTAAGTTAATTTACATGGTAGATTGCTTGGTAATTCATGACAGTACAAAGTCATGTGGCACACAAAATGGAAGGTGAGAACTGTTATTTTCTTTTGTACTTTTAAAAGGAGAATTATGTTTTAATTGGGATCAAGAAAAATTAAGCAATTTATATGTTGGGATTATCATCAGCAGACAATGGCTTAGTGGAGGGGAGAGGAAGGAAGGGATTTATGACAAATTTATTTTTTACCTCTATAGAGTTGTAGTATTTTTAAAGAGAATCAAGTTGATAGTGAATATATATATTTTTATAAATGTGTAATCATGCAGTTTGACTTAAAAATTCAGCCCAATTCATCTCAACCAAAATGGACTGTAGACTGAAACCTTTCCTGAGAATAATATAAAATAAAAGAATCTGCTACAGTGGCTGATAAGCAGCATTGTTATGTTGACATCTTAATGAGCTGTGAGAGGAAGTACACAGCATCTTGATTAAATTTTCAAAGGACGTTAGGTGTTATGGAAGCCTGTGATGACAAGAAAAATTAATAATATGCTTGGGAAAATGATTCAGCTTAAAAAGTGTATGTATACATCTGGGAAGAATTATACAAGGCTCAAGCCTAAGGAAACATAGATGTGTTTTGTAGTAAACTTCAGATAACAAAAATTAATGAAACATTTAACATGTTACCGTCTTTATTCTGAGCAGCCTGACCTTTTGGGGGCTATGTGATTGAGGATGAGAGAGTAATTCGTGTTAGAAGGCAAATAGTAGTCTTCGCCAAGACTGCTGATTTTAAAGGATGGTTTTGAAAGTGATGTATATTACAATGTTTTTAAAACATTATT